GAACCTGCTTTTGTCTGATCTTTGCTTTGGTTTTTTCCTCCGTGGATATGACGGATGTCTTCCGAGCGTTTGCTGCCTCTTCTTCTTCCAAGCGCACAAATCCATCGGCTCTTTCATTAAGTTCATCCATAATCTTCGGCGTGTTCACTACCAAGCTTGTGTGGAATGGAGTGCCACGAGTCATGGTCAGTATAAACGTTTGAACCACCGTAAAAGGGTGACATTCAATCACCATGCTCTTGGTAAGGTTAAACCTAGTTAGGAAAGCTTGGAGACGCTCATCTTCATACTGCTTCATTGTGAATAGGCTCAAAATGTCCTTCGCTGGACGCTTATTTCCATAATATTGGCTTATGAACCGATTACACAAGCTTCGGAAACTATCCACTGAGCCCCTTGGCAGGTTCTTGAACTAATTGAGCACTGGTCTAGCTAGACTCGTAGGAAAGCACTTGCACATCAAAAAGTCATTCTCAGTGTTCAGAGCCATTTTCAACTGGATGTGATACACATGATCGATCGGATTGGTCGTTCCGTCGAACATAATGAAAACGGGCATGGAAAATTTCCTCGGACTCGGAGCATTCAGAATCTCATCGGTGAACAATGAATCAACCGTTCGAGCTGCTGAATGGAGCGCTTCATTTTCCTTCTGGAACCCCACGGTTGCTCTCTGGTCTACAGATCTCCTCTCTGAGCCGTGATAGTCGAACGTCGCCATGGAAGGCCGATAAGTCGGATCGAACAAACTCTCTGCGCCATGGAGGCATAGCTTTGTGATGATCAAACTCTATTGCTTTACCTCAGCTAAGCGTTTCTTGATGTGGATCAAAAGTCATGGTTTTGTTTCGCCTGATCTGCTCACGCCGTGGATCCACGCGAGTTGATCCTTCACGATCATCAATACGACAAAGATTTGGCGGCAAACCGTTTGGCCGGATTTCCTCGCGGTGAAGATCTATCAGATTGTTTCCGACCTCCTCACCGTGATGTGCCGCATTGGTACGTTCAACTTCTTCTCCTACCGGGAGCGGTAGCGGAATCACCGGAGCTTCTTGAAGCTGCATTTCTGTCCTTAGATCTGCATTTTCTCTCCGGAGAGCTTCGATCATGCTCATCAACTCATCAAGTTTCACCTGCTGGACGTTCTCTACCGTATTGGAGTTCTTACCCCCTATCATGATTCTGGATCGAAGCAAAGGCATGAATTACGAACTCCGAAACAGATCTGAGCATCACCGATGCAAATTCCGTTAGATCTGGACTCAACTTCACTGAATCGTGGTCACCGTTTGCTAGATCTGAGCTTTTCTAACTTTGAACTCACCGGATCTGACTGCAATTGAACAAATCACAGTTGCGTAATTCCGAAGCAAATGCCTCAGAATCAACAATAAGCAAGAATTCTCTTTGAACAAACTACAATCTCACTGATCTGGATTCGACTTCCAAAAATCAAACTGTGTGTTCACAAATCTGATTGAACTAACATGATACTGATCAGGCTCGAATCGATCTTCTTCGTCGTTCCTACAGACGGTGCCAATTGAAGATGCAAGAAATTCATTCTCCTTTCTCTCTCTAGAATTCTTACACTTCAATAGAAAATAAACTCCAAAAAATCCCCCCCTTATCCACTCGTAATGGTCTATTTATAGACCATTACAAATACTCTAACCAACTTATTACATAGGGCTCCTACTCAAGGGTTTTTTTCCTTTTGGGCCTGACTTTCTAATGGGCTTGGTCCTCTTCAGTGGATCTTCCAAGCTCGGCCCATTTCGTGGTGCCTTTGTATGGGCCATACTTCAATTGTTTGACCCGATCCCATGCCAGCGAGCTATAACTGGCCCATGCCACTTATTGCATCCTCAGCTACATACCCACCCATTTATATCCCTTTCATTTTTTAGGGACAAATAACTCTGGTAACAATACGACTAGTCCTTTTTACCATGAGAGTAGCATAGAGTCTGCCAGCTTAGTATGTCTTTGAGGTTGATTGTTTAATTAAGATTCAAGGATCACAAGGGGAATAAATGAAAACTGAACCGCTGAAACAGATAAGCTTCTTTGCTTGATTCTTTTTAGCTTTTCATGCTTCCTAAGTTGAAATGGTATTCAAAACTCCCTCTTCCTCTTGTTTGGTACAATAAGAGCTTACTAGTGCATGATTGGGTTGGTAACATATATATTTTTTAATTTAAATGAATTGTAATTAATAGTTAATAACTTTTAGGATTTTTACACATAAATGTACTTATGGACCTGTATTTACAGTATTGTGCAGTCAAAGTCCCAATGTTTCAGAAAAATGAAGCGGACCAATTTAATGACGTGGACATGAACTTTTTTACTGTTCACCACAATTTGTTACCTATACTAACCTTTCACTTTTTAAACTCAATTACTATACTACCCTCATTTCATAGAAACCACTTTGATTTCTCTCTCCACGCCTACCTAACTCTGACTTTCCTATATTGAAACCATCGGCATTGCCCAACTCATTGCCGCCCGCCGCTTCCATGCTTCTTCGCCAGAAATATTTAATCTCGAATCCCCACAATCCTTTTCTCTTTCTGTCTCCGCTGTCTCTCCCTCTCCCTCTTATCCTTCTACTGCCTCCTCTCCAATTCCCTCATCTCAGCCTCCATTGCCTTCCTCTTCTTCTTTCTCCTATACTCTTCATAATCATTCGGCCTCGCTGGATCATATTCCTCGATAACCGTCGACGTGACACCAATAAGTGCCAGCTGGAAAAGGGCTCCTCGCCGTGTCTTCAGCCACCAACATAGGCGACAGAGCCACCGATGCACTAACAATCTTTGGTTGCGCGAAAGTTAAGGTTTTGGGTTTGTTCTGGGCCTTCAAAACGGTCTGTGGCGGGGGAAAGAGCGACGCCGGTTTGTGTAGCGTCGGGGGAGCCATTTTAGTGCTGCTGGACCACACATTGGACGAATTGTTGATTCTTTCGTCATCTGTAGATGTGGATGAAGGTGGTGGGAGATCTCCGTACAATCCGCCAAGCATTGCACAACTATCGATTTCAAACAGTGATCTTCGTAAGCCCTAGAAAATTGATCTTAGCTTGAAATCAGAGTGCTTCAGAGAGAAAATGGGTGAGAAGAGGGCAGTATAATAATTGAGTTCGAAAAGTGGAAGGTTAATTTAGGTACCAAATTGTGGTGAACAGTAAAAGTTCATGTTGGTCCACCTCATTTTTCTAAAACATTGGGACTTTGACTACACAATACTGTAAATATAGGCCCATAAGTACATTTATGTGTAAAAATTCTGAACTTTTAGGATTTTAGGATTTATTTCTAATTAATTCATAACTTCAATCACTCTTTTCCTGCTTTTCATACAAATTAGTTTCCCTTTTCTTACTGGGTGCATATCACTTAAGTTTATTTTTTCTTATTATTGGTAGTGTCGCTCTTAATTTCTTCATTATGTTTGTATACATCCTCACTCTTATTTTTTCTTATTATTGATTGTGTCACTTCTTTCTCTCCCGGTAAGAGCCCAAGAAACCACCACCACCACCACCATCTCTCTCTCAACTCATTTTCTCAATCTCTCTTCATACCCATCTCTCACAACTCACTACCCTGCTATAGCCTCTGACACTGAAATTGATAAGCCAACACTGTCAAACAGTGTGATAGTGCATTGGCGGTCCATGGAGTCGCCGGAAATGTGTCCGAGGAGGAGAGAGAGTTTCGGAAGCAGCCGGATGAAGACGGGCACCGGCCATGCTTGGATTTTGGGATTGAGTACAGAATAAAATCAGCAAAGATTTCTAATTAGAAGAAGAGGTTCTTGGTGGGTTTTTTTTTTTTTTTTTTGGGTACTAAATCAATAGAGGATTCAGATAGTTGATGCAGTCCTTATCATGAGAATTCGGATTGAGATAGTTGATGCAGTCCTTATCATGAGAATTCTTGAAGTTCCATTGGTTGTGTCAGTTTTGCAGGTTAATTGCGTTTGGGGAGGACAAGCAAAATGTACCCCAATTGAATTTTCAGAATTGCATTCTATGTTAGTATTCTATGTTAAATTTGATCATGGCTACAGGCAAATTGTTAGAGAATCTTCATCTTAGAGCTTTCTTATTTTTTTTTTATTCTTTTGTATCTTCAGAAAAGATGAAATCAGAGATTAAGAAATTTCAAACTTTCTATTACATATGCGGTGCAACTATTATTTTGGTGTTTCTGCTTGAATTGTACAAAGCGAAATTCTCATATACGGTTCTCGGAGGGAGAATCCCACCTATCTCAATAAAGTCTATGATTGGTTCAAAGAGCACCTTGAGATTCAGGCGATGGTAGATGATATAACTAATAAATACGTTCCTCCCCATGTCAATAAAATTATATAGGAGGAATTATGCTTGTTTTTTAGTACGAGTAGCTACGGGGTTTGCTATGACTTTTTACTATTGTCGGATCGTTACTGCAGGATATTATGCCAGCCCTGTGCAATTTAGCTTCCCTTTTCCCCCGCGCGCGTGTTATAAATGAGGTGGGGACCCTTTCCCGCCCCAGCCCCGTGCGTGCGGGGTTTTATCCTTTACTGCATGCATCCCAACCCTAACCCATTCCATTGGTAATGGAACAGGACCAACAGGAATGGGGCAAATTATAATCCCTATGCGCCAGATATAGAAGCAAACCCAGCAACTTTGTTAAATGTAGTTTAAGAAAGTGGTTCTCTCTCCCCCCCTTCCTCTCTGGGGGAATGTGCGACATCAACGCCTAGCAACCAACGATCCAAAAATTTACTAAATGGTGCAGGAGAGCCTAAATTTGATTAAGCTCATCAGATTGCCATCATGCTTCATGACCCCAGTTCAACTAACCAATCTAAATAACCGCAGCACTGATCCTTCCTTAACGCAACAGAGTAATAATAAGAGGGTAAGATTTTACCCAAGTCGTGCAACGTGCAAAGGTAGAGTGCTCTTAAAGGAACATTACATGGCATGGCACTTTTTAGGTTATAATTGATTTTATATAGAAGTTACCCCACCGGGTATTGGAAGGGGAAAAGAGCTGAGTTGCCCAAAAAAAGACACTTACATAAGCATACACAAAACTCAAATTGCAGGATTCCTCCAAGAATGTACCGTGTAACCAAATTCAGCATTCGATATCCTCCGGCGCTTGAGGAGGTGGATTTCCAGGGTTTTGCAGCTTCCTGCATTTTGCATCCTCTCCTGAAGGAGTAATAACTAATAACCACACTTTGTTTTTTGCAGTCAATTTTGAGGAATTCAATCTGAGGTGACCAATGTGACTTCGTCTCTTAGATAGAATTGACGGAATCACCATCACTGCTTTCACTGTCACTACGACTGCTCCCACTGCCACTGCCACTCCCACTACCACTACTCTCACTCCCGATGCTGCTCGAGCTTGAAGTTCGCCCATGTCTTCCCTCTGCATTTACCTGTGCTCTAAGGGCTTCTGCTGCATTATGGCCCTTATCCACTTCATCGTCACTGACATCTACATCCGCAATCTCATCATCCGTATCATTTTGATGTGGCAAGTTTATATCAATACCAGTTTGTATCTCTTTGTCAGCAGCATTCCCTCTATCAGCTGCTCCACTGCCATCATCGTCGTCGTCATTAAGTATATCTAACTGTTCCTCCAGATCGTCATTCTTAAGGTCTGGTGATGTGGTTGATGGATTTGGATGAGCAGATGGATAATCAATAACCTTCTCATTCTTTGGTTTCGGATCTGGTGCATAGAGATAAAAGTGAAAATTTTTGACCAAGTAACACGAAGTTGCACACCAAAGTTTTTTTTTTTTTTTGGGAGGGGGGGTAAAAACTAGAATAAATATCTCACCATGAATAACATATCTTGGCACGTTGTGAATGGAAAATAATTGCAGTGGAAAAGAAAATGAGTGATAAGAAAAAAATGCAATCAATAAAAATAAAATCATTCCATCCTGTTTTGCAAAATATTTCAGATGATTCCATTTTATTTTTCATCACAAATAAAAATAGTCAACAACCATTCCTTGTCACGACTCCATATGGAGGATGAATTTCAAGTGCAAATGATGTATAGACAACAATGTTGATTAATTCATGATCAAGGGTCATCCAAACTCTATTATAAAAAAGTAATACTAAAAAAAATAGAGGTCATCCAAACACAATCTTTAAAACTGGATTTGCCTTTTAGCATGTAGAGGATCAATTTAATAATTCTTCATGATGAGTTCATTTTTGTGATAGATTTTACCTTCAAAGACATGTATCAAAACATATCCAAAACAAATCCTTCCATTATAAAACCGAAACAGTGAATTCAGAGATGTGGTACATTTTATTGCAGTTAAAAAAAGATTGCTGGCCTAGTTCACTTACTAACTGTGCTTCATAATATAGAATTTCTAGAGAGATAATAAACAATAGGAATTTTACCAATTGGTCCAGGACCCAGCAACCGAACATCAAATGGCTTACATTTTGTCAAAACATGCTCACTTCCATTTGGCTTTCTCATTTTTCATTTTACATTAAACTATAAGCACAAACACGCTTTAGAACAAAGAAGATGAAAAGTGGTTGACATGCCACAGTAAATTGCAGGACACCACAAAGATTGAGTCCAGAGGAACTCACGCGCAGTTGGCCTGTAGAACTGTAAAATGTGGGGTGGAAATGGGGAATTTTTTTTTAATCAGGAATGCGAAAAGAGTAGCAAGCCAATAATTATTCTTTTTTGTTTACTAAGGCAATAATTAATTTATTTTGGTAGGGCCACTATAACTTTGTTTTTTGTATTTAATCATATGTGCTTCTTGAATGTCAAATTATGAGCCGAGAGTAAAAATTTCTAGAGTAACTCCAGCTTTAATGAACAACAAGAATAAACAAAAAGGTACGTGACCCCCTATACATCGCAATATTGGTCACTTAAAAGCACGTGACCCTCTCGAGCATGAGTAAAAGCATTAAAGATGTGTAATCATAAAGAATATTATCGAATAGAAAGGCCATAAAACTTACAAATTTTGACGTACTTGATTGGCCATGCAATTGTAGCTGCTTCAACATATGACTCTTTCAAATCAAAGCAACGAATTTCAAGCATATACAAGGGCACATTGACATCAATGACTTCATTGATCCATACTTTCCAACATTCAGAACCAAGTGGAGCAGAACCTATGAGAGACTTTGGATCCGTTGAATCAATCTCACCCCTGGCAAAAACTAATTTTGTCCCATCAAAATGCAATAACTCCTGCATTGGACACCTAATTATGTTGAAATGACCAAGGTGGTAAACTACTAATAGGCCAACAGAAAGATTTGCATTTTGATTGACCCCAAAAATACTAATTCTGCGTGAAATAATTTTGGGGTTGGATTGACCATTAAATTGCATAACTATCAATTTAGTGTCTTCAGCATAAGAAATAATCTGGTCAAAAAATAAAATGATAAAGCTTACCAAAAAATATTTCCACGGGCTTCCAGAGAGTTTAAAAGTATACCATCATCATAGCTGCAAAAGGCATATACCATGATCAGAAAGACCAATCTGAGAGAAAATAATAATAATAATAATAATATGCAAACTACCAATAATGATATTGTATCAACTATACAACAACACTGATGAGATATTCAAAAGTGTTTAAATTATTCTTTATGCAATGTTACACGAGACTAGTTGATGACCAGATTATTCCTTATGCTGAACAAGTGGGAATTTTTTTTGGTGAGCTTTATCATTTTACTTTATGACCAGATTATTCCTTATGCTGAAGACACTAATTTTTGCATCAGAAGGAACTTGAACAAAGGTCAGAAAGAGTTAAATCGGTGGATTTCCACCCAATAGAGCCATGGTGATTATAATTTTTTTTTTTATCAGCCTTGTTGTACCTTCCAAATTGCTAGTTAGTTGCTCAATAAAAAATAAAAAAAAATAGTTAGTTGCTCAATAAAAATTCCCGTTCAAACTATGCATTGGAAATAAGGTACAATCAAGAAGAATATTTGTATATCATAAAGTGAGAATTAGGTTGAAAATTGAATAGCAGGTTAAATATTCCTGTGTTCTCAAGGAAAAGGAATCAAGAGAAAGAAATTGAACGGAGAGAAGTTAGGGTTTGCTTACCGATCAGGCAAAGAATGAGAGACGTCAGAGAAATTGAAACACAATCTTCAGACTGAAGGATTCTCACACCTGTCAGTGCCCTCACCAACCGAAAAAGGAAAATATGCGCGCCCTCGGCCTTCTTTTTAATCCCCAAATTCTTCTATTCTCTTCCCATGGAGGATTCCATACGTAGGGTTTCGACTCTTGGATTTCCTGGTCTTCTTCTTTTCCTCAAGCAAATCCACAGTTTCTAAAAATGGATGGCAACTCCAAGTGCAACGTCAATTCACACATCAAAGATCCTCCCAAAAACTAATTGAGGATCCTGCCCACTTGATTTATTGATGATTCCACAGACGGATTGAATTCGAGTCAATGCTTTTATAATTCTCTAAAAATAGTGTTATTTGAGCATAGGTTTTTTTTTTTGTTTGTTTTTTTTTTTTTTTGGAGTTCATGAGAACTATTTTAGAGAACTGAACAAACAAACCCTAAATTTTTTAGGGAAGGGTAATACGAATACCAAAAACTGCAAAAGGAAATGACTAGGTATCATGGAGAAAGTTCTTTTTTCCTAGTATTTCTCAATATTGGTCAGCCTAACATAACTTACAGTGAAGGCCTGAAGGGTAAATAAAGGACTGACCTATGGGAGGTAAAGAGAGACTTATATACCCAATTGTCAATTTGTTACAACAAGAAAAAACTCAAATAAGGCGGGAACGTGGTTTTCTAATCTTTTTTTTTTTTTAATTCATTAGAGATGGTTGGCAAGCCTTTCTTCAATCAGCTACAGAGTTTGTCAGAGAAGTCAACAATCTGAGTTACATAACTGAGTTTGTTTCTTCCATAAAGAATGAAAATGCCATGGAGACTCTACAAAAACTAGACTTCTCTACGTAAGGGATGCTAAAGTTGTAGAAGCCAAAGATTTCAAGTGTTCTATAATCCTAATAGAAAAGTATGTTCCGTGCTGCTGGCCATAAAGAAAGCTCCCGAGGAGCAAGTAGTAGAAAGTCCTGCTAGAGAGCTTTGCATTTTGACCACACTAGCTCGAAGTGATCCCCCAGCTCTTTCAGAAGCTTTGGAGAGAATGAGAGTGATCCGGGAAATGGAACTGTTAGAATCGAATGACCCAATAAAAAAATGGACCCTTCTGCTGAGGAAGCTTTGAAACATCTCTTGTGATTATCTGATTCCAAGGCTGCTGTTTATGATGCTGCTTTAGGTCTCAAAATTTTTTGCAGCTTCTTATTGTGTTGGGTTGGGTTGGCCCAGCCCGATGTCTCCTCAGATATGGGCTTTCAAGTAATCCAAACCCAAATTTTTTCGGGCTGGACGGGTTGACCCCCTTTTTTTTTTTTTTTTTTTTTTTTTTCAATCATGCAAATTACATCTCCGTTTGAAAATAACGGCCCATTGGTATTATAAATTAAGTATTCAATTATTAATTTTTGGGTACCTTGGAGTTTGCATGATCTCGTAGGAGGAATATAGATGCAATATGTATGTGTGTGTGTGTGTGTATATATATATATGTTATATATTATGTTAGGCGTGGTTGTAGCTTCTAATGAAATATCTCTTCATGAATGTTGTAAAAACAATATAAACATAAATCCTATGAATATAACAAAAGACAATTCAAGTTGGGAAGAGGTTTTCCTGATTTGAGTAGATGCATCATCAAAAACAGTGTCTTCCTTCATGGCGGAGATACAGACTGTGGAGGGAAAAAACTCCCTCCAATAAGAAGCGTACACGTCATCACTACACATATCTACATTCCAAGGACATATAAGGCCCATCATGCTCAAGCCCAAATTGAGGGTATTTTTAGCCCAAGACCATTGTTATTTGTCTTCTAACCTCCATCAAGGCCGAATCAAGAGGTCATCAGCCCAACTTGTTAATATTTAACATCCGGTCCGTTACTCAAGCCCAGCCGGATCAAAGTATGTTCAACCCAGTTATTCAAGAATGCACAAGTCCTACCAGTTGAAGGATTTACCGTAGAAGGAAAATTCCGAGATAGGAAGTTCTGTACAAGGCAAGTTCTATGTATGGAAAATTAGACAATGGAAAGAACTCTATTAGTAAAGAATGTTTATATAGAAAGAATTGGAAGACAAGCAAAGCGAGTCCTACCATAAATTTACAATATTTTGTATATAAATAGAGGCTGAGACCTCCAATAAAGGGATCAAGCAATTCTACGCTTCGAGATATATTGTTCTTGTTTATTTTTACTATTGATTGAGTGAGTTGTTTTATTTTTCTTAATCATTATTGGTTGAGCGAAATTTTGCACCTACACTTTGGCGCCGTCTGTGGGAACGTATAAAAATATACTCCCACTTATTCTTCAAATCAAATCCTTAGTCGTATCTGGAATTGTCAAACGGAGAGTCAGCAATGAATCAACAGATAGAATTGATGCAAAAGATGCGAAAGGAGTTCTTGCACCAATTTGAGACACTCCGGCAAGCAAACGATACGAGTGTCGCCCAGATAGCTGCGCTTCAGCAGCAAACTCATACGCTGCACACGGCAATGGCCAGGCTAATGCCACAACTACCACCAAGCGATGCTGCAGCACCACCCCCCACCTAGAATTTACCTCCAGTTCACGAGCCTCCGGCCAACGGGACACCACCCAACGGGGCTTGACCTAATGAGGTTCAGCAACAGCAAGGGACGAGGTCTGAGGCGGTTGCTTCGGATAATCTCCCGCGTCGCACACAGGACGAACAGGCCGAGTCTAGCCATAGGCTTACGGTATGGTCCAATAGCGTTCCAGATGGCGCACGCGTACAAGATGCCTTCGACGAAAAGAAGCTATTAAGAGTTCAGACACCAGCCGAGATGGCTAGAGAGCACAAGAACTCCTTGGTCAAGACCCCCTTTACTGACGATGTGTACCTTGTGGAGAGACCAAAGAAGTTCACTATGCCATCCTTCACCCAGTTCGATGGGGCAGGAGACCCCTCTTGGCATCTCGATCGTTATGCACAAAAGATGGCACTGGACGATCATAACGATCCGTGGATGTGTAAGGTTTTGCCTACCAGTTTAACCAGAGCAGCGTTAGAATGGTTCAGGAATAGGCCACACAAGTCTATCCCTGATTATGAGACCTTGTACACTATGTTCTTAGCCCAGTATTGCGGAAATAAGAAGCAGAAGAAAAGTATCACCAGCCTTTTCACCATAAGGCAAAGGAAGGGAGAAACTCTGTAAGATTTCTTATCTAGGTTTAACATGGAAGCCTCGGAGATAACAGATTGCCACCCTGCCACGGCAATCGAAACATTTAAGTTGGCAATGATCCAGGGAACCAAGTTTCACACATCCTTGATCAAATATTCCCCCCCGGATATGCAGACTTTGAACGCTAGGGCACAAATCTACATTCGATTGGAGGAAAACGTAGCCCACCGCGCACAGCACGCTACCCTCGTCAAAGTAAAAAATAAGTCTCGAGAGAAAGCTGCAAGCACAAGGATGCAGAAGGTTCCTCATGCCGCCACACAAGTCACCCAAGCGCCTGAGAAGAGGCAAAGGACAGAGGACAGGCTTACCCCTCTCCGTACTACCTTAGCGTGCCTATTCCAAGAGAATAAGACGAGGTTCGCAACTCCTCAGCCCATGAAACAACCCTTGGAGCAGAGGGACAAAAGCAAACATTGTGCCTACCATAGAGACTATGGGCATACCACCAATGACTGCAGGTCCTTTCAGCGATAGGTAGAAAGCATGATAGCGAGAGGAGAGTTGGTGGAGTATCTCGCCACGAAGGAGTACGTAAAACCTCTGGAGGTTAACCCTCGACGGGTAGAGGGCGGTCAGGTAAAGGTTATCCATGCCATACACGGAAGGTCAGAGGATGATGAAGAGTCTGAAGAGTTGTACAGATCCAGGCTGAGAGAGGCTCATAAGTTACGAAGATTGTCTTCGGTAAACACGGTTGCACCAGGCAGCATCAACATTGGATTTGGTAACAATGATCTGTCTAGAGTCCAATGCCCGCATGAGGACCCCTTGGTCATTAGCCTCCTAGTAGCGAATTATATAATCAGGAGGGTGCTGATAGATTCGGGAAGTAGCGCCAACATCATTACAAAAGCAGCTTTCGATTAGCTGGGGGTTTCACCATCGTCCATCAGGCCAACTTCCAGCCCCCTAATGGGGTTTGATGGTACTAAGGTGAATCCGCTTGGGGTGATCGATCTATCCGTTACTGCAGCAAAGAGGACTCTGAAGGAGAATTTTGTCGTGACGGAGATTCATCCATCTTATAACCTAATTATGGGGAGAGGTTGGATCCATCGTATGAACGGAGTCCCCTGTACCCTTCATCAAGTAATGAGGTGTTTATCCCCAGATGGCAGGAAGGTCATCGACCTCTGGGGAGACCAGGTTACTGCAAAAGAATGTTACATGCT